GCTTCACCTAGAGTGGTGGTTGGCAGTTTGCTTGGAATCAAATCCTCAAGTTCCTTGTCCCACTCAGCTTGCAAATCATCAAATTTACTAAAACAAATTTGCACTTAATATTACATACTTGTTTATATTGTAGTTCAAATCATTGTTCTGTTTGTTCCTATATAAACTCTATTATTAGCCCTCAAAAGGTCATGTGACATGTCATTATTTGCAGACCGCTCATGTCCCAAGCTGCAGTCATACAGACCCTATTATCAAAGCACTGCAGGGGAAAAGTAAAGAGGCTCAGTGGGACCAGAGGCTTTTAATGAGGCTTGACAGTGGCAGCCTCAAAACCCAGCCGGAGATCTGCTGTAGTGGGCCATGACGGGCCTATGTGTGGTTTAATGATAACCATGCAGGACCAATGGTAGCACTGGGCCTTGGTCGGTACTTCTGTTAGACGGCGGAGCAGGTGGCTGGCATTGTACTTACTGTCAAGCATATGACAAAGACATAACCAGAATCTGGCAGCAAAGCAGCCAGCAAGAGCTGCCATCTCTGATCAGTTTACACATGGGACATGATGAAAGACACAGAGATGAAACAGCATTTTGAGTGATTTTAATTAAGAACAGGCGTGGAAGTTTGTCATGGATTTGTCTTCATTCTCTATGATACAATGAACATTTTTTATATTTTGTTACAGAGATCATCATGTAGTCTAAACTTCATTTTGAAATGTTAATGTACCAGTTTTCTAATTCCATATTTAATTCAGCTTTAAAAACATATAAACAGATGAGCCTTGTTTACTTTGAATTAAAGTTTTGATGTGATGCCATTGCAATAGCATCTGCTAAGATGTGTGGTGCAGCATGTCTCAAATCCTGTATCTTTAGCTTTTTTCATTTTCATTTTTTACAGTTTCAAAGAAAGTTTTTGCTCAGCTGACAGGAAGTGAACCATTGACTAAAACTGGCCTCTAAGTAGTTCATATAAAGCACTCTTTGTATATGGAACTCTTTGGTCTGTAATCCTTGGCACAACTGTGTTTTGTGGCAAATAAAAGCAGCTATGTTTTGGAGCCCGTGCTCATCTATTTGTCAGATTACTGAAAGGAACAACATGAGGAGGCACACTCTGAGAAGTGACAGGCATTCAGTTTGCTTTCTTGTAGAAATTAAAGGCAGAATGACCCACATTCACAATTGAAAGCAATGCAGAAAATGGTTCTTTGTGCAAACTTTTGTGGATTAGATGAGTATAAGCGTAAGCAAGCAAAAGACACTTGTGGAGTGTTCTCGAACTGTTGTGTTTGCCTCTTGGAGATGGCCAGGCACAGGTTTATTTAACTTATGTAACTTTGTTTTCTAAAAAGAATGCTTACTTGGAATTTAAGGACTCCATTGTGTGAAGGTATTACAGAGAGGCTAAATAGGCCAATCAAAGAAAATGGTTATATAACAAGATTTAACTGAAGTATTCTCTGCGTGCACTGTATGAGTACAATCCAAGGATTTTAGAACATTAGTCCCTGAAGAAAAAAAGCTCTATTTAGTGAAAATAGTTTTATGACCACTTCTGATCTTATCCTCTGCAATAAACTATTTATTGTCTTAAAAACTGAAAAATTGAACTGGTCCAAAGTTATTTCTCACTTACCTTGTGTATTCAGACCATTTTAATTATTCACTACAATGAGTTTATAAGCACTTTTACAACTTTCAGAGGTCAGAGTGGAGTTTTTGCTGTCACAATAAACAACAGTTACCATGCCAACAGTGCACTTCCTGATTATGAGACAATGAATCTATTATATATAATAATATATGCAGTACACAGTGGACAAGAGCTGCTTACAATATATCTGTACTGGCGCAAGATGAATTGAATACATGGAATACATGGAAATGAGGTTCAGGCCCTTTACTGCATGTACCATCCCACAGTAGTAGATTTGTTTAGTCGTTTTGACTGTTGGAATACATAATTGAGGAGTATATTATCTTCCATGTGAATTTAGCACCTGTCTTGAATGAATAATTATTGAATAAAAGGATCTGTCCACAGATAATAAAAAAAGAGATTACTGCCTGACGGCTCTATGAATACATCAGCCCTATATCAACATCCACAGTGATTTGCATAGCAGGATTGAGCAGGCTCTTGGTCCTGGGCCCTGGCACATCTCTTCTCACCCTAATTATCATCTGGAAAGCTAGCTCTTATATCAAGTGCCCACACAAATTCTGCCTTTTTCTGAAGCTGTATTAAAGTATCGTTATATACAGTTTCTCATTCTACTGTGACCCTGGTGGAGGTCAAATTGCGAGTGTTTTAATGAAAGAAAAAAAATAGTGAATAACAATAGCCCAGCTGTGTAAATTCCTCTCCAGACAGCCGTGTGATTTAGACCTAATTAGTATTCCTTTAAGTGGGACCCCAGTGCCCCCTTGTCCTTAAGATGGATGAATTAAAAAGGAGGAGCTGTCTCACTAAAGATTCACCGATGTCTTTTCTATTACTGCTTATACTGTTTGTTTATCAACACAAAATGCTAATATTTGAGCTTATTCTGAGATTTTAGGCTGTCAACATTTCAGTGTTAGGCAGTGATTATGTAACTGTCTTGGCCATTGTATTGCCGACTACTTGTACTTATTTGGATTTAGTAGTATTTAGTAGTAAAGCATTGTGAATGCGATTAGATTTGAGATTAATGTGTAATAATAGGATTCCATTCAAAGTTCACATTTTAAAAGTGTTCAGAAGAATTGACAAAAAGACTGAATGAGGTCTATGAGCTAACGAATGAATACACAGATCATGTATTTCAGAACATGTTTGTACAGATCTAAACAGTTTGTGTGCTGAAAAAGATTGGATATTATGTTGTTTGTGTAAGAAATTATGGTACTGCATTTGTGAGTTGCCATTTGCGTCCATTAAAATTGCAGTTTGATTATGATTCATCTTGCAGCCCTATTTAACAAAACGTACATCTGCCTCAGTGTTCTCTTCAAATCAAAGCAGATCGGGTGGTGCATTATTGAGTGTTGTGTCTTCCAAGTGTTGTGTGTGTTTTTTCCCAGTGTGCAACTAAAGACGCTGTGTGTCAGAGGTGAGCAGCTGAATGAGGCCAGCAGGACCCCCTCCACAGCTGGGAGGGGACTGCACACATTCAGCCCCGGCTCTAAAGGCTTTGTGTGTGGATTCCAGGCAACCAGGTCTTATGCAGCAGCGAGGAACGCACACAGCCTCTTGTCTTGTGCTGCAAGATGGCACACTGTGGGAAACTAGAAAAAAAACAAGGCTGGTGAAATTTGTGATGTCTAGTTTAAAGGTGGGCTATGTAACTTTTCTGTTGAAGGGTCTAAAACAGGCTTGTCTTCATGGAGATGTAATTGTTTGCCTGGAATTTTGCAGAATATGACATCAAAGGCCCTGTGCCTGTTTTTTCTGTGTATTTGGTCACACTGCCTGCACCTAATTATAAAGTGTTTTATTGAGTAATAATCAAGAAGTGCTTCAGGAAGTGAACTTTACCCATGACAGTCTCTGAAATTTGTGAAAAGTGCTTATAAACTCATCAAAGTGAATAATTAGGATGCTTAGAATGCAGTTTGCAGTTTTTCACATTTTAGACAGTATAAATCAGGTACAGAGCTTTTAAAACTCATTTATCTCCATGAACAAAAGCAATTGACCCCACCAGGTCGACTTACAGGTCAGAGCTGTGAAGAGGCGGCTCCACTCACATTAAGAATGCATGTTTCTCAAGGCATTTTTGTGCTGTAAAACATAGTAGTCAAATACATTAAAATAGGCTGTGGAACATTACAGACAAAGCAATACATCTCCATGGAAACAAGCAGGTGGTGGACTTTCACGATGATTTACATAGTGCACCTTTAAATTAAGAGGAGCAGTTGGGTTGAGTAACTGAGTCTTTTTTTTTCTCTCTCTCTCTCTCTGTCAACTGGAGAATAGTTTTAGTTTGAGTAGTTTGTTCTGACTCATTGCAGCACACATTTGATGTTTGACTCAGAAGCTGATGAGGTTTCGACCCGCTCTGGTTGTAGTTTGAGTTCTGACCACCAGAGGCTGCTTTTGAGTCTGGCTGGATTGTTACACGTTGTTGTAGTTGTGCCATGAACTCTTGGTGCCCTTGATTTGAATCATGAACTTAATGTATAGTTCATGTGGGGCTGTTTTATTTATTTCTGGCGTTGTTAATATTGGTTATTCGTCATTTCATCATTCATTCATCAAGTGCTAAGAATTTGTTCAACTGCTAGAGATGGTGCATTTAGAGTGACTTAAAAGAATGAGTTAGCCCAGAGAGAAAAAAAATCTATTTGAACACCACCAAATGTAACTCTACTGAAATATAGCTACTCAAAATTAATATTCTCAGTACATATTTCTGTACATGTATTTAGCCATTGTCCAACACTGCTGGTATCCATACCCTAGCACTTTCTTTATCTGATTAACCTCTCTTCTATGGGAGATACAATATATTTTATAACTGTGCACTCATCTATACTCAGT